AAGCAAATAAAATGCCTCACAAATACAAAGGCAAAAATAGGCCTATACAAAGAAACTATGTACAAACCATACATAAGTAGGACTAGGCCTTCTCTTCATGATAGAGTAGTCCAAGTGAAGAGTACCTTGGGCTTAGAAAGCCCACTAATATTCAAGATGTCCAACTCTTCTTGTATGCTCCTGGCCATAGTCCTAGTGATTAGGCCCTTGGCCCATGGTCTATCATCTCCTCCCTCTTGAGAAGAATTTGTCCTCAAATCTATAGGGTCATCTTCCTCATCATAACCTGCAAAGGGAATAAGATCACTAATATTAAAAGTGTTACTTACTCCATAATCACTAGGAAGATCTAACCTGTAAGCATTATCATTGATTCTTTGGAGGACCTGAAAGGGGCCATCTCCTCTTGGATTGAGTTTAGACTTCTTTTGAGATGGAAATATTTTCTTTCTCAAATGAAGCCAAACCAAATCTCCTTCCTTGAAATTGAGGTCTTTCTTACCTTTGCTTCTCTCTAAAGCAGTTCTCTCATTTTGTTGTTGAATATGGGTTTTAACCTTCTCATGTAATTTCTTGACAAAATCAGCCCTAGATACCCCTTCTTTAGGAAAATAGTGAGAAAAATCTGGCAGGGGTATTAGGTCCAAAGGAGTGAGAGGGTTAAAACCATAGACAACCTCAAAAGGTGAGATTTTGGTAGTCTTATGGACTACCCTATTATAAGAAAATTCAATATGGGGCAAGTACTCACCCCAAAACTTATGGTTACCCTTAAGGACTGCCCTTAACATGGTAGATAGAGATCTATTAACTACTTCTGTTTGCCCATCAGTTTGGGGATGACAAGTAGTTGAGAAAAGTAGTTTAGTTCCTAGGCTATACTCCAAAGAGTTTTCCAAAAATGGCTAAGGAACTTAGTGTCCCTATCTGACACAATTTTTTTGGGTAGACCATGAAGTCTAACCACTTCCTTGAAGAAGAGTCTTGCTATGTTGCTTGCATCATCTATCTTATGACAGGGTATAAAATGGGCCATTTTACTAAATCGGTCCACTATCACAAAGATAGAATCCATGCCTCTCTTTGATCCTCTTGCACTTGTTGAGGAGAAAGAGGATGAAGCAAAAATTTCTTTTCCTTATATGTAAATGATATCTCATTAGTAAGGCCATTATTGTTAAGTCAGACGAAGACGGAAGCAATTCCCAGCAAGGTTTTGAATGAGACAAATATAATACATATTGTTATTACTAACAAGTGTGTTAGTGTTTCAGATATAAGTACAGTTAAACTGCTAAATAAAGAATATACATCCATACCAGAATCAAGGAGATGTGAGGCAAGCATTGGATAAAGGCTGAGCAAAAGAAGGAACTACATCAGACGAAGACACCCACAAAACCAGACATAAAGGAAATAAAAGACAAGAGCATGAGCAACTAAGATGAAGGATAAAATCTAACAAGACGACAGATGAGGAGATCAAACGATCAAACGGAATCAAGCCTAGCACAAGAAGTAAAATAATGAAGCCTCAGATGATACAAGACCATGGACGATGGGCAAAATTAAGTTAAAGCACCATAGACAGAGTCAAGTATCTACAATAGCCAATCAGACGGAGACTTGAGTACACAAACGAAGATCACGGAAGCTGGATTGCATTTGAAGACAAAATGAGACAAACTATCTAACATCCACACTCTTAAAAGAACATATGAAGTCATTAAAGTATAAGAAGGAAGATAAGACAAATGGACGAGCGCTTATCCACAAATCAAAATAGCGTGTGTTAGAGCAAATACACCTACCAGCTAGGAAAAGACAACACCTCTGGAGCAACAGTACCAAGAAAGTACAAAAGATCTCGAGAAGTGCAGATTTAGCAAGAAAACATTAAATGCTAAGTCAGAAGCATTAAATGTCACAATTCATGAAGATTATACAAACCAGATGAAAGAATCAGATGATAAGCAATCAAGCACAAAGACAAAGTCTACTCACAGACGGAAGAGAACTATAATCAGAATGAGACACTGAAATATCAGACGAAGCCTATGAGGAATAATCAAGGCAAGACATGAACCAAACAAGTTGAGACAGATGAAGCAAGTGATGTAGGAAACCGAACGTCAAGAAGAGAAAAATTGGAACACGAATGTGCGCCAGACGATCATAAAATACTTAGACAAAGATGTGTATAGTACAACTATCCTAAAGTGAAAATCAGACGAGGCATATGTCTAAGGTCAAAAGAAAGTCAACTATGCATTAGATGAAGGACAGCACAGACTAAGAGACACTCTAGATTGAAACTATGGTTAACTATTCACGTTGTTAATCAAACCAAAGGAAAGTCAAAGCACTAAACTCGGACGCTAAAGCAAAAGTCAAGATTCAAATGCACAAGACCAAAAGGCGAAGATAAAGACTCCATGCAAAAATATAAATAATCACGTCTCAAGAAAGAAGCCAAGATATCGTCTATACCAAAGTTTTCAACGTAAAATGCGTATGTAGGGACAAAGGAGAAGAGAAGCATGCAAAAGCAGAGCATGCATGTGTAAGAAAAAGTACATGACTTTTTTAGAAAAGGACAATGGCTATATCGCTGCACAGCGAGAAAAAGATAAACAATTTCCGGGTCTCAGATAAAGTCAAACACTACAGCAACATGATAGAGAAGAATACACGCAATGTCTAAAAATAGGAAGCAACATTTAATGCAAGACCAAATACATTAAATGAAAGGATCAAACTAGTCATGAACGACTATATTAGCTTCAACAGACATATGCAATGGGCAAATTTTACAGGCCTATAAATATGCAACAACATCAAATTGAAAGAGGTGAGTGAAGAAGCAACGAAAGAATGATTATATGCCTTGCCCTGGGCTTTTCGATAAAAACAAAAAAAGTGATATCAAGCCCACGAGATAGAGACCAGAGATGAACTTACATAGTCATACGTACAATGTAATGTTGTATTTTTATCTCTGTAGACTAAGGTGTTCGAAAATGTCAGTGATGGACTAAACCTTAGTGAGTGTTGTAAACTTATGTATCCTCTTGATGAGAGTAACCCACACAATCAAAATCTCTGTAAAACTAAGGGAGCAAACCTTAGTGAGTGTAGATCATATATGTATCCTCTCAGTAAGAGTAACTCAAAACACGGAAACCCGACTATACTTTTGTCATCATTGTAAAGCCTGAAAAGGCTAGGAAAAGAATACTTGTAAAGCCCGGAGGGGCTTGTCAAAGAATACTCATTGTTATCCAAAAGTGGCAGATAAGAAAATACTAGCGTTGGTGAGTGAAGTTGATGGGCCAGGAGTGGTCGAGAATACTTGGAGAACCAGAAGTGGTTTAAGAATACTAGCATTGGTGAGTGAAGCCGACGGGCCAGGAGTGGTCGAGAATACTTGGAGAGCCAGAAGTGGTTTAATAATACTAGCGTTGGTGAGTGAAGCCGATGGGCCAGAAGTGGTCGAGAATACTTGGAGAACCAGAAGTGATTTAAGAATGCTAGTGTTGGTGGGTGAAGCTGACGGGCCAGGAGTGGTCGAGAATACTCAGGTCCAGGAGTGGACGATAATACTCAATGTACTTAATTTTATATCTAGTGGAACCCTTCAAGTTGAAGGAGAATGGATGTAGCTCAGTTGAGTGAACCAGTATAAAATGATTGCATTCCTTTACCTACTTAGACACAAACCTTCCTTATTGATGAAACTTTTGTGAAAGACTTTGTCCAATGTTTATATATGTTTAAAAAAACTTTTAGGTGAAGACGCTAACTTTGCTTGACAGACTTATTACACTGAAAGTTTCATCTGCCACTTATCCTTAAACAAAACCATTTTGAAAAGGAAAATGTAAGAACTTTAATTAATATATTTACAGAACATTTTCCCTAGTGGACAATAAATTCTTCAGATGCATTGTTAGTAAGTTAAGCAAACTCTGATTAACCATCTGATATTCAAAAGAGCAGTGGACGAAGAGCACTACTGTTGCAAAAATGTTTTCATTTTTAAAATACTTTTGTTCACACACATATTCAACCCCCCCTTCTATGTGTTTTTCCGCTAACTTCAATTGGTATCAAAGCTTGGCCCCTTGGGTTGAGCATCTAACAATGCAAGGGAATATGACGATCCATAGAGGAACAAAGGACGAAGGAGGACGAACAAACTGGTATAGGTAAATCTAGTATCAAAACTTCCGTTTCAACTGTGCATAATATTTATATTGTGAGTATAAACCATATTTGATAGATTAAGACAATATGTGTGCTCATGCAAATTCGTCTGAAACATACTAGAACAACAATTGTAGCAAGACACTACGTTAGTCACCCCTCTAAATGTGTAAGAAACCACTTGGTCTAAAAATCATCTGAGTCTCGGAAAACCCTATCGACTGTACCCTAAATTGATAACAATTGTCATTGGAAAGCATGTCTATCACGCGTACTAAAATATCTCTGAGTATTGACAAATATGTTTGTCAATCAATAGGCAGCATGACCGTCACATTACTAGAAGGATTGTATTCTAAGTCAGTTATTTTGCCATATCTACATCGGTTTTAAAACCGACTTAGATAAGGCCGTCGTAGATGAATGAACATATCTACGTCGGTTATGTAAAAACCGACTTAGATGTATTTATACATTTAAGTCAATTTTCACAAAACTGTCTTAGATGTGCACATACATCTAAGTCGGTTTTTATCAAAACTGACTTAGATGTATATATGCACATCTAAGACGGTTTTTATTCAAAACCGACTTAGATGTATATGTGCACATCTAAGACGATTTTTATTCAAAACCGACTTAGATGTGCATATATATACATCTAAGTCAGTTTTTACGTAGAACCACTGTAGATTGTATTTTTTTTAACCAAGTTAATTTTTAAAATAAAACTGATTCAATTATAAATAACCTGCAAAAACTGATTCAATTATCCAATGTAAGAGAAACCAACAGAGACCAATTTGGGATCGTTATCATTATATATAATACTAAAGAAACAATATACTTGGAAACCAAGAGAGGCTAATCTAGTATCCATAAAGAAGAGTTTTTCTCTTACAAGGAGAAGAGAAGATCAAAAAAATTAGGTCACATTACATTAGACATGCACTGGGCAGCCTAATACTGAAACCACATTCACCTATTTCTAAATTTTACATGTAATACTAGACCTTTCAACATGATCTATTTCTAAATTTTTCTAAAAACAAATTTCCCCAATGAATCCGAATGTCTTCCAATTTGGTTTCCCCCAATGGTGTAGCATCTTCAAAAAGCTGCAACATATATACATCATATATTAGTTACATCATAAAAGGCATTAAAAGAAATTAACAATATTTTTAAATGTACCTCACTCCAACCATTTGTTACTCCCCCTTCAATTATTTTTGACATCCAATTCATGACATAGTATCCACATTCATAATGTCCTTGTTGTTTATAACTCTAAAACGAACACCAAATAAAGTAGTATAAATAGTTTTTTTTAATTAAGGTAATAAAAGAATTTGTTAGGCAGATTGACTTTAATTACGAACCACTTACTTACCATGGGGTAAATCCATTCTAAGTTCTTTGACAATGCAGTAGATATATCTGCAATAGCTCAATAGCTCAACAAAACAAAAAAATTATACAAATTAAGATCAAATATTCTAATCACCATTTGTCTAAAAAAAAATAGATGTAATCTTTCAAAATTATAAACATGAGACATTCTATTCATGTAAACACCTCTTTAATCTCAAGAAAAAAATATTAAAGACCAACTATTAATTATGACATGAATAATTTTAAATATTTAATAAATTCATCACACATGGTGAATGCATATACTACTTTATCAATTAAATACGACTTATAATATTTGCATTTTTAAGAATATACAAAAATGACACTATGTTTTAGGTTTTAATATAATAAATATTTTTGTTTAACTTTGTACTTTTGATTTTTAAAACATTAATTAATAATTTTTTATTTTCTAAGTCAAATTAGATACATGAAATTTGTATACTGCTCATGTGATACTATGTTAATATATATACACTATAATATTGACAATAATATTCTCTAGTTTTGTTGGAAACTACGTTAGAATGTATATGATACTGCTCATTTAGTTATTAAACCAACGTTTTATTTTAAAGAGAATGATAAATTAATCCTAATTTTTCTTTTTGTCGAAATAAATAACAGTAAAGTATGTGGAAAAGAAATACGTAAAAAAAACTGTTGAAGAAATTAACTTTGACGCAATTTGTAAAATATGTACCAGACAATATCTCAACCAAACTAGTTTCTCTTTTACAATGAGAAATGATTATAAGATTGATTAAGTCAAAATTATGATTCATGTAAACAACCTTGCACTCAAATGAAATGGAAATTTAGGCCTAGTAACAGCAGTTAATGACAGTTTAGCAAATAGACAGGTCTTTGCAAAAGCATAATCTATCAGAAAACCTATTCTTAAATGTACTCTTAGTTTTAACTACCGTCATTTTGTGGATCTTTAATTCTTTTTCAAAAATTTGATCTTCACTATATATATAACAGACTTAAATATTCATTATATAATCTTTTTGTCCCATTTTATTTGTTATTTAATATTTAATTGACATCATAAAATAATAACTAAAATGTGACAACTTTATTTTAATAAAAACCATCAAATAAAATAAGATGCATGATGATTACGAAATTAATGACTAATAAACATTTCATTTCATCACATCACTCAGATATATTTAGATTTTATAATCTATGTCTAGTGTCAGCAAATTTTTTTAATGAAGATTCAATGAACTAATACAAAGCGAAATTTAATTTAAATAGGACTAAAGTGAAATAAAAAAGATTATCCTTATAATATATTAATAGTAATAAAAGAAATATATAAAGGCTTGATTTGATTAGGAATAAGATGAATGTAATTAAGAGACATGTTCAACAGAGACTATAAATTAATAAGAGACTAATTAAGAACTAAAGGTTCTTATTCTGTTTTATTACCTTTTCTTAGGGGATACTTCATTCTGCTTTGCATAATGAATATTGGAAACTGATAGATACTCAAGGGAAACCAACAGGAGTGATGGGATGGTGGGATTCTCGTGCTGTTACATTCCTAGAGAACCATGATACCGGGTCCACACAAGTATCAGCTCTCCCCCTCTCTATCTATCTAATGTAGTTTGATGCATAAAATATTTGTTAGGAACCCAGAAATGGATCTTGAATTTTTGTTAATGTGCTTCATAGCTCCGGGAATTTGGTCTATATAATTGATTAGGTAAACTTACTTAGTCTAAGTCATTCCTCATTAATCAGAATCCTAGATTCTTAATTTACTTCAATTTAATCTGTAATCCAATCATTTCAAGTATATGGGTTTCCTTGTTTCTTTGTCAATACTGCACTAATGTGCAACACAGGACAAACCATTTATTAAAACACACTTAATCATTGAACTATAGATCTGTGTATTCACCAGATCAAATCACCGGTCTGATTTTAAAAACATTGTTTGGACGTATATAACATAAGCATTGTCCTACCACCCAAGGAAGGATGCTTTGAACACCTGCTAAGGTCAACTATAATATAAAAACTCCATTCCCCGAAAAACAATGAACAAATCTTGCACAGACTTCAAGCTTTACATCTTACTTATCAAGACTAGATATTCTTCTAATCCAAAAGAGAGCCTCAATTACAATACTAAATCTATATTTCAGAGTCATTATTGGTGGAAATTAACTATGGCAAGTAGCCAGACCATTTAACATAGAAACAAAACAAAATTTGCTATAAAATTAAGACAAGATTGAGTAGGTGAACCTTGTCAGCCAACTGCTGTACAGGAGCTTCCCTACTTTGTGCCTCTTCAACTAGACGAACAATGTCTCCCATAATAGTCTCGCCACCTGGTCTCCGCACTTCCACTGTAAGAGTTCCATTAAGATTTATACTTCCAGCTGCAACCTCACTCTGCAAAAATAAAACCCATCAACTAGTCACTAAAATAAACTATACAGTACTGCCCCGGGTACAGAAATGTGAAGGGCTCAATCATATATCTATAGAAAATGAATTCTGCTCATCATCAATTAAGATGTAATCAAATGGTTTTCTTTTTCTACTGATAAATTGTACACAATGCATTGATGAACTTAGAATCAATGATCACAGCATCCATAGGTGCTCAAAGGAACCAATAAAAGCTACAAGTTGAGTCAAAAGCAAAATAAATCTCAGATTATAACAAAATATGTTGAGATAGAATGTACCCCAGTTACTTTTGTTACAGGAAACCCCAGTTGAGTCAAAATATTAAATGGAGTTATAGAATCACAGTTTGTAATTAACTTTCAGCAGATATCCAATGCACACCTTGGACTTATTACCATCAGAATGGAAAAAGCAAGAACAATCGATTTTACACCGTTAAAAAATGATGAAAAAATATATATGTTAATTAACCAAAGTAAAAGTCTCATGGTTTATGGTGCATACTTAGTAGTTGATATTCTATTACAGGAAAACTAAATGCGGTGTGAATAAAATGAAACAGTGCTTAACAATCACAAAATAAGAGGAAACTACCCACCTAAAAATACAAGAATATACCAAATGGCTAAGCATCAATCCATTGTAAAGGCTAGGAGAAAAAGACAAATCTGGAAATATTAAAATAAGATAGAAGGTTTGAGAACTTCCACATAGACATAGAAAGAGATGAAACCACAGGTAGTTTGCAGCTGGAAATTGATTTAACACATTAAACATGTGCATTACTTTTGTTCACAACCAAAACTGTGCAATTGTTAATAATAAATGAAGAACAGGAAAATCATGATAATGCATGATTAACAGTTCAATATGCATCTAATTAGACTAAAGATATAATATTATGGTATATGACAAATTCAAGTTCAAATTATAATAAAAATGTCAAAACCCTATCTTACTAATAATAACAAAAGGGGGAAGGGGGAAATGATGTAGGAATCAAAGAATGAAGCTGTAAGAGTTTTGCAAACACATCAATGGCAATCACCTTGGCAAGGAAAAGTGCATCAACTATAAAGGCTTCCCATGTCTCTTCTTTTACTCCCTAAAACAGAAAAATGATATGATTTTAGTAGCAGGCACCTTGGAGAGCCAACACCGCGAAAACCAGCAGGAACTGGGTTACTGGGTATGTATTTCCTACAAAAGAAGGAACGAGTAAAGTAAGCAATTTGCAAAGTGACACGAGCGATTGTGTGAGAGAGAGAGTCTTACTAGGTTGCGGAGCTGCGAACGATTAAATAGGAGAAATTTAAGAAATGGAAGAGATAATATGGTTTTGAGACCATCTAGTTCAGCCACTAGAACACCTGAATCAGGTTGATGCTACTACTTTCCTTTAAAATTCTATGATGAACCAAACACAAAACCTAGAAAAATAAACGGAGAAACAGAGAAACGGGAAAAAGCGGCTTCGAGTTCAGCACCAGCCAGAAAGCTCACCCAACATTAACCCAGAAAAAGAAAAATACTATAAAGAAATAAAATCACCCAGAAAAATCTCGAAAGTACGTCGACAGAGGGAAATGAGAGAATGAAGAGAGAAGTTAAAGAGGAAATACCTTGCCGTCGTTAAGGCTGTGCTCGCGGGAATCGACTTCACTGAAATATGAGAGAATGAAGAGAGCTTTCGAGAACTGAGAGAGAGAACGAGGGCTGTGGTTGAGAGACTGAACGGCGCGCATGAATTGAGAGTCGGGGTGCGAATTTTGGGTCTCCATCTAAGTCGATTTTACACAAAAACCGTTGTAGATCACTTAATATCTAAGTCAGTTTTACTAAAAATCATCGTAGATATATTCGTGTAGGCTATTCTACTACGCGTATTCACTAAACCGTCGTAGATAATGTTCCTTTTATTTACAAAAATTCCACCGCGTCTTATTCTACATCATTTTTCAATAAACCGTCTTAGATTGAGTGACTTAGATTATCCTTTTTGTAGTAGTGTCACTCTTGCATCTATAGGAAAAGACGACTCTCTTATCCCCAATTAAATGTAGCCGAACATTACTCTGCACGAGGAGATAAATAAGTTCCATTTAATGTATATATTTTAAAATAATTAAGAATCTTAAGGCTTTCTCTAGCTATAAAAACCCATAGAGGTTTTAGGAATCACAACACAACTCACACCCTAGAACTTCAAAAGATCTCCTAAATTTCCTGTACTCCACTCTCTCCCAAATGATCGACATCCATTACAATGGATGAACATAGCAACCTTGCTAAAACACACAAAGCCATAAATTGCACTTATATCCTTACCTCGAGGGAAAAGTCAGAAAAATATCTGGAGCCTCACTCTAATATCAACCAAATGGAGGAAAGTGGGATACTCTAGCGTATCCACGCTAGAAGAGTCATTCACACTAACTTAGTGTTAATGCACTATGTCCTCTCAAATGCTCTGTAGACACCCAATTTCGTCCGGGGGCACACAAACAACAACATAGGACATCAGAGAGCCCAAAAGCCCAAATCAACTATTTTTAGTGGCCCGGAACGGGCCATTCCAAAATCTGAACAGGCCGTTCCCAAGTCTGGAACGGGCCGTTCTTGAATTGGAACGGGCCGTTCCGATACTCTTAAAAGGCCTAAAATTGTAGGTTGGAACGGGCCGTTCCAGACCAGAACGGGCCATTCCAAACCAATCAAAGGGCCTAAAATATTTGGTTTGGAATGGGCCGTTCCAATTTCAAAGCGGGCCGTTCTGGTCCCCGGAACGGGCCGTTCTAATTTTAGAACGGCCTGTTCTGAGACTTCTAAAAGGCCTAAAATATTTGGTCTGGAACGGGCCATTCCAATTTCAGAATGGGCCGTTCTAGGGTGCAAAAATCATACATAACGTTCGGATTCGGAACGGGCCATTCTGAATCCAGAATGGGCCGTTTCGGCCCACGTCAGATGCCTATAAATAGAAATCTCGGCCACAGTTCTGAGGACCTCAAAAATTTCGTCCAAGACTCCTTGGAGCTCGAAATTTCTCTCTCTTTCTCCCTCCTATTGTATTTCTTGAGATTTGTGAGACATTTGTGTAATGTGAAAGGTCGCCACAAAGCACCTATAATTTTCATATTGGAAGATCTAACAAAGCTTGCTACGAGGTATTGTAATCAATCTTCTTCTCTCTCTTTTATTTCTTATCTTTGATAAATATTATTATAATAAAAGCAATCATGTAGATATTTTAAAATTAATTGTTTAATTTAAATTTCAAGCATGTAAATATTTACCAATAAAAGGGGATTTAATATTTATATTATTATTGTTTATAATGTTAACTTCGTCATAGGGTACCGATTAAGGGCGTTGTAGGGGTGCTTAATACCTTTCCTACACGTAACCGACCCCCGAACCCAATTCTAGTTATCAAGACCATTATTGGACCTTTAAAAACCTTTTCTTTTTCCAATGTTTTGAGTAAAACATTGGTGGCGACTCCATGAACCTATTTTTAAAAAACCATTGATTAAGGATTAGTCTAGCGTCCGGGCATTCCTTAATTGATGAGACTTTCAAAAGGATGTCTAAACCATAGGTCGCAAGATCAGAAATTTTCGAGTTGCGACATGCTCCACAAAGGTTCGTGGAAGGAATGGTGTTTGGTACACACCAACCTTCTCAAAGCAAGGGTTCTACATCAGAACAAGCAAAGGGAGATGTAACCAGGAACGGACAAATAAGTGAAAATAATTGTTCCAGAGTCAGTGTTGTGGAAGCACAAGAAGAATGAGGAGTAGGCTTTGGCAGAAGAAAGGAGAGGCAAGTTCATCTGGAGGAAAACTCAATGAACGTGCCGCTTCCATAAAAATGACCTTCTGCTAGAAATCAAGTAGAAGTTCCCTCATTCTCGTCCTAAAAAGGCGTCCCTGCTCAAATAGATCCTCCCAAGGGAGAGGTGTCTTAGGTTCACTATAGAAGAAATAAGAAAATAGGGATAATCTTGCTAAAAGCCTCCATATGCAGATTTCTCATGATGTAAATCTAAGACTAGTCAATAATACATTTACTTCTTCTTATCTAGAATTATTGGCTGATATGTGAAATAATCTACTCAATGAAATTATCCTTTTCTGCTACATAAAATAACTCTTTAGATGTTGGATTGTGTCCATTTTCTTATCTACTTTGTCTGATTAAGAAAAGTGTTTTCAACCCTCATGTTAAACATGTTCATAATTCAATTTAATGCACTTCTCTTCGGGTATAAATCACCTTACTTATAACTACAAAATTCTCCTTAAGCATCTCGCTTACTATATAAGTCTTTCTGATGTTTGAATACCCATAGAAACTCATCTATCTTGATGACTACAAATTAAAAAAATGCTAGTAAGTTTGTATTATACAAATATTTTTCCCTATCATGTACGTCTTATAATTAAAATATTAATACAATTTAATTAACTAAGTGCACATAATTAATGCATAGTGATCTCGATAGACTGAATGTTAAAAAGTTTTTTTTTACTTTCATGATTCGACCAAAAATACCATTGTACGGTTATAATAATTAAAAACTACTCTGGCATATAATTCTTTTTTATGATTACAAAGAGGGAGAAATAGAAAAGAATTGATCAGTTTGTCAAACTTGGCTAAGAGACAACCTAGTAAGGGGAGTGCATAAACTAAGAGGGAGAAATCAAATGAACTTGTAAATACTTCTAATTTAGTATATCTGAAACCCAGTTGATCAATTATATTTGTCATCTTCAAAAAGGGGGAGATTGTTAAGTCAGACGAAGTCGAAAGCAATTCCCAGCAAGGTTTTGAATGAGACAAATATAATACATATTGTTATTACTAACAAGTGTGTTAGTGTTTCAGATATAAGTACAAGTAAACTGCTGAATAAAGAATATACATCCATACCAAAATCAAGGAGAGGCAAGCATTGGATAAAGGCTGAGCAAAAGAAGGAACTACATCAGACGAAGACACCCACAAAACCAGACACAAAGGAAATAAAAGACAAGAGCACGAGCAACCAAGATGAAGGATAAAAGCTAACAAGACGACAGATGACGAGATCAAACGATCAAACGGAATCAAGCCCAGCACAAGAAGTAAAATAATGAAGCCTCAGATGATACAAGACCATGGACGATGGGCAAAATGAAGTTAAATCACCATAGACAGAGTCAAGTATCTACAACAGCCAATCAGATGGAGACTCGAATACACAGATGAAGATCACGATAGCTGGATTGCGTCTGAAGACACAAGGAGACAAACTGTCTAACAACGACACTCTCAAAAGAACATATGAAGTCATTAAACTATAAGAAGGAAGATAAGCCAAATGGACGAGTGCTTATCCACAAATCAAAATAGCATGTGTTAGAGCAAGTACACCTACCAGCCAGGAAAAGACAACACCTTTGCAGTAACAGTACCAAGAAAGTACAAAAGATCTCGAGAAGTGCAGATTTAGCAAGCAAGCAAACATTAAATGCTAAGTCAGAAGCATTAAATGTCAAAATTCATGAAGATTATACAAACCAGATGATAAGTAATCAAGCATAAAGACAAAGTCTGCTCACGGACGAAAGAGAACTAACATCAGAATGAGACACTGAAATATTAGACGAAGCCTTTGAGGAATAATCAAGGCAAGACATGAACCAGACAAGTTGAGACAGATGAAGCAAGTAATGTAGGAAATCGAACGTCAAGAAAAGAAAAATTGGAACACGAATGTGCGACAGACAATCATAAAATACGCAAACAAAGATGTGTATAGTACAACTATCCTAAAGCACAAATCAGACGAGGCATATGTCTAAGGTCAAAAGAAAGTCAACTATGCATCAGACGAAGGACAACACTGACTAAGAGACATTCTAGATGGAAACTATGGTTGACTATTCACGTTATTAATCAAACCAAAGGAAAGTCAAAGCACTAAACTCGGACGCTGAAGCAAAAGTCAAGATTGAAATGCACAAGACAAACAGATGGAGATAAAGACTCCCACGCGAGCAAATAAAGAATCACGTCTCAAGAAATAAGCCAAGATATCGTCTACACCAAAGCTTTCAATGTAAAACGCGTATGTAGGGACAAAGGAGAAGAGAAGCACGCAAAAGCAGAGCATGCATGTGTCAGAAAATGCACATGACTTTTTCAGAAAAGGACAATGGCTATCGCTACACGGCCGAAAAAAGAGAAACAACTTCTGGGTCTTAGATAAAGTCAAACATTGCAGCAACAGGATAGAGAAGAATACACGCAATGTCTAAAAATAGGAAGCAACATTTAATGCAAGACCAAATGCTTTAAATGAACGGATCAAACTAGTAATGAACGACTATATTAGCTTCAACGGACATATGCAACGGGCAAATTTTACATGCCTATAAATATGCAACAACATCAAACCGAAAGAGGTGAGGCAAGAAGCAACGGAAGAATGATTATATGCCTTGCCCTGGGCTTTTCGATAAAAAGAAAAAGAGTGATATCAAGCCCACGAGACAGAGACCAAAGATGAACTTACATAGTCATATGTACAATGTAATGTTATATTTTTATCTCTGTAGACTAAGGTGTTGTTAGTGATGGACTAAACCTTAGTGAGTGTTGTAAACTTATGTATCCTCTCCATGAGAGTAACCCACACACTCAAAATCTCTATAAAACTAAGGTAGCAAACCTTAGTGAGTGTAGATCATATATGTATCCTCTCAGTAAGAGTAACCCAAAACACTAAAACCCGACTATACTGATGGACTCCTTC